TTGCTATGGGCAAGGTGATCGCTAATCGCTAGGGGACGCAAATATGGTCGTAGACCACGCTCATGATTGCTAAACCGAGGCATGCATTATAGGCTGTCACTAGGCCCTCCCGATTTAGGCAATCAACGGTTGACTTACTCCCTTACTCAACCCAAGGGTTGGTCGGCTTAATCGCGCTTAACCAAATTGCTTAATCCAATATTGAGGTTTGCTCTAAATTAACCTAGTTAGAAGACTTTAAAAGCCCTAGGGATACCAACTCGATTGAGACTCCCTTGGAAGGGGGTTTAGTGGCTAATTAGATTGCTAAGCATAAACATGCACAATTATTAGGTTGCTAAGCATAGACATGTACAAACCTAAGGATGCTAAGCAAAAACATGCACAATCAAGATGAATAATACCTCAAACATTTGGATTAAACAATACCCAATGACAATCATTCAATTCACATAAAAGAAAACTACATGGTAGAGTTAGGGTTTCACAACACCCAAGTGAAAAGAATTCTACTCCATGCTAGAGATGGGAGAAACACAAGGAGAAGTGGTAGAAACCATCTTGGAGGAGGCTTCCAATCTTCTTGGCCCTTGTGTTGAACTTTCCTTGGAGGAAATCTTCCCAAAATCCACCTTGGAGCAAAACCCTAGCCTCCTTCTTCTTTGGTTTGTGTTTCTCTCTCTAGAAATCAGAAGAAGGCTTTCTCACTCAAAAATGGGCTCTCCCCTCTTTCTTCCTTTCAGCTAATCTTTTAAACCAGAGACGAAATGTGAAACGCGTCCGTGAACTGCGAGATGGACGCCAAAACGCACCGCTTCATCCACTTCCGTTCACGGTCAACAGCCTCAGTTCACGGTCTTAGTGACCGTGAACTCACCTTGCGTCAGTAACTTGCATTTTGGCTCTGGACGCCTCAAGGTTCACGGCTAGTGGCTTTTCTTCACGGTCATGTAAGACAGTGAACAACCCAAGAAAACCGTGATCTCGCCCTTTTTCACCTCTTCTCCCGATTTCGATTCTTTTCGTCCAACTTTCAACTCCGAGGCTGGTTTCACCTGTTAAATCCTGAAACACACTAAAACACGAGAAACCTAGCATAAAATCAACCTTTTAGGAGCGAAGTTGCCACAAACGACCAAGGATAAGGGGGCAAAACATGTGCAATTAGGCCCAAACCAAGTGAATTACTTTGCCAGGGGACTGTGTTCTCTATTCTTCCAGCCCAACACCCCATCTTTCAGGTGTTGTGCCTCAGAGCTCGATTGTCTGTATGTGGGATGGGGCCACTGCGAGTGGGTCCCATTTGGTAGGCGGGATGGTTATTATTGATGATCCTATGGTTGTTGAGTTGCTTGTCCACTGTGAGGCTATTCTCTAGTGCCTAAGCCATGGATTAACGGAGGTGAGGTTTGCTGGAGATGCCAGAGTGGTCATTGACAAGATCAATCGAGCTGATACCCACGACAATCGGATGGGGGTGATTTTGGAGGAGATTGTGGGTTATTTTGCGTTGCATACTAGGTTTAGTGTTCTATTTGTAGTTCGGCCTAGTAATAGGGTAGACTAGTTGGTGGCTCGAAAGGCCCTTTCTTTGTACCTGACTTCGAGTCGTTTCTTTGATTTCCTGAATTGGCTTCATGCCAGGATGTAACTATCTTTTTTTCAATCAATATATGATTATCTTTTTTAAAAAAAATTGACGTCGAAGATTGAAGTGGAGATATTTTTTAAAATAAAGGATTATACCACACGAGATTACTCTCCTTCTGAACATAACTCTCTCTCTCTCTGTGTGAAAAAGGTCGAGGGAATGTGATTGGAGGAAGTCAACAAAAAATGACAAAGGGGTCGTTTGGTTTTGGTGATAGTTTGGTTGGGCTAGTTACAATGCATGCAATGTTCACAATGCATCATTTTTTTTTTAATTTTCTGAACAAACTATACGTGCATTGTTTGCTGGATGTGACACAAACTATCACTCAAAATGAGTGATTGTTAAATCTCAAGTTTTGGTTGAGATTGTTGAGATTATTTGATTGAGATTGTTGTGTTTTTTTCTTCTTCCAACTATGTCCTTACCTTTTTACGTGTGTTGCTTTTTAATACTAAAAAAAAAGGTACAAATGACATTTCACCCATAAAGTAATATAATTTATTTAAGGGTTAATACCCTAGTTTGGCCTCAAGTTTAGCATTAATGACAGTTTTGGCCCAACTTTTCAAATAAGACATTTATGACCTACTTTTCAAATTATTAGACAAATTTGGCCCGAAATGTACATTGACTGTTAAAAATGACGGTCAACGATTTTTCTGTTAGTGACTCAACATCTAATGCTGAGTTGGCGTCCACATCATTTCTATTATTAATTAAAAATAAAATAAGTTAAAAATATTATTTCTCCCCCAACCCTTCCTCCCTTAAATCCAGCTTCCTCCGCCTCTCTTCTCAGATCCACCCTCTGCCTCATTCTCAATTTCTCGTTCAATAATTAATGGGCAATGGTGGTAGGAGACCTAAGTCCCCAATTGAAGCAACGGTTGAATAGTAGAGCAAAGAAGCCGGAGAGGAGCGGCAATTGGGGAGCCTTGATGATTTGGGGAGCCTCGAATCTCTACTCTCGTCGACCGCCTTTTCTTAATCTTCGACGATGAGCTGCTACTCCTCCCGGAGAGACAAGGCGCCAACTGGGAATCCGGACCCGCCAGTACTCCCAGAACGCCAGTGACTCGATCGGCGGACGCCAACAGCGTGGTGGTTGAGTTGGAAGGGAAGCCGGATCCAAGGTTCAAATTCAATTCGATGACCGGCGATGTCAATGGGCACGGTTTTGGGGCAGACGTACGTGAGCCCGATGAGTGTCAGCGCCAAGATGGCGACGATGGGCGGGGAAAGAGAGTTCGTGACAACGAGGTTTGCTGGGTCCACTGGCGGCAGCGACGCTGCGCATGGATTTACTTGCCGAGCTTGAAGTGCGAGAGTGGGATTGAAGGTCGTCGATTCGTTTGCAAGAGATAGAGGAAGAAGTCACGGAGGAGAGGGATCTAGAAGAGGCGGCTAGGGTTGAGCAAAATCGCCTTTTTATTTTTTGAGTTTATTTTTTAATTTCATTTTCACTTTTTTAGAATTTTTAGCATTAATAAATTATTTGGAAATGATGTGGAAGGCATGTAACTGCCATCTCAGCATTCAATGATCAGTCACTGACAGATTAAATGTTTGACCTTCAAGACTAACGGTCAACATACATTTCGGGCCAAATTTGTGCAATAGTTTGAAAAGTAGGCCATAAATGTCTTATTCGAAAATTCTAGCCAAAATTGTCACTTACGCTAAACTTCGGGCCAAACTACGGTATTAACCCTTTATTTAAACACTACAATCACTATCACAAAAACCAAATAATATAAACTACAATACACCAATTTTCTTATATACATGTATATTATTATGCATGCATCGATGACAATACATCGATTCAACTATAACCAAAACCAAACAACCCATATCGTATTTTCAAAATATATTAATTGACATTTATTTTGTCAGACCCAAATTATTCTGGGTTTGTACGTTGAAATCTCATGTGGTGTGGACCGTGTCCGATCCCTCCCTGCCCTTGATCCGCCCCAGAAAAGGACGTCTACTTTGGTAGTGATCGTTCCTGTCTGTTAGCAAAATGACAGGCACAGAGTTCCAGATTTTAGCTTCTCTTTTCTACTTCCTGTGTCTTTTACTTAGAAGGATCCTCTCCAACTCCAAGACTGTCAACCCGCAGATCGACTCACTTTGACCTTGGCCCGGTGAGAAAAATAGACCACGCGTACTCATCGGATCAACAGTTATAAGATATCGGGTAGGACGTCAAATTGTGTCATTTTTTTCTTTGGTTTGCGAAAAGCGCCTATTTTCCGATTTTTCTTTTCGCGTAACTCAATTTTTGGAATCCTAAGATGAACATTTGAATATTGATGTTATATAAGTGTGAATTTTCACTATATGTTGGATCTAAGTACGACAAGTTATTTTAGTGTAATATTATATGTTCTAAATCATATTTTAGATGATATTTGATATAATTTATCAGGATAAGTACAATATAATGACTCTTTCCATATTTCCGGACTAAACCGAGCTAAAATGGGTAATCCATTAACCCTTGACCTACTAGCTCGACCGGGTCCGAATCAACCCGCGGGTTGACAACAGTGATCCTCTCCTTCCCACCATAAGCGATCTCATTAGAAACCTGTTGTTACTGCTCAGTAAAGGTCATATTTTGAAAATGAAAGAAGCCCCCAATCATTTGGCCACACAATCTCAGGGTGATATATTGTGGGCTGCGATTTTGCCCGCTGACAAACGCGCCAATGGGCATTTGGGAGTCAGCAGCATCAGCTTTCAAGGCAGCCTGCAAGGCATCCAATGTGTAATTTGGGTTGGTGAACTGAACACAAGAGGTCTTTCTTACAAAACGGGCTAGGTGGGACCCTTACAACCTATCCATACTTGCTAAAAGGCCTACCAATTTTCAGGTGGGTTCGTTGGAAAAACATTCCCCTCATATTATCATCCCTGTCTTGCTTTGCTAGCTATTACACCTAAAGCTTACATAAATAATGAGCCGAGCCGAGAGGACACCAATAATGGAAGAACATAAAAATAATGCAGTTCGCTGCCCCCTTCTGTAGGGCTAAAGCTAACTAATTGATAATCCGACGATAGAAACAGAACATATATCCCCGAATCATGATCTGGAAAATATCTAACATCGACCTTCACATGATGTTAATGCGCCATTTTTGCTGAAATTGGTCGCCACCATGACTGGTGGAAACAATCTTCATAGCAAAGAAAACAAAATAGAGCGAGGGAGAGAGAGAGCCAGATTATATGTACACAGTACACTCAATTTCAACTGCAGCACAAGAAAATATGAAAACTTTTATGCAGCGATAAATAAACCATATAAACTAAAGCCACTAGGGGTTTTGAAATTTCAGTGGAACCCTCTCGAACCTCTAGATTGGTAAAGCTCCAATCTGCTCTTGGCTTCAGGCAGCAAAGGATCCAGTATTTCGTTCTGGGTAATGAAAGCTTGCTTGCAAGCCCATTCCAACACAGTCAAAACCTCTGCTTTTGAAAGCTCCTCACTATCTGGAACATGAAAAGCAATGTAACAAAGAAGAACCAAAGCCGAAATCTGAACAACTTGTTCCCCGAAATAGACAAGCTGGATCAAATGTTTTGCCCCTCCAGCACTAATGATCGCCTTTGCATGATCAAGGTGGAGATAGTTATCAGAACTGGCAAACTTAGTGAGAGCAATCGATGCCTCCCTTGAAACCTCAGCTTCCCTCTCATCTAGAAGCTTAACTAATGGGGTGATCATCCTGGTCTCCGTAGCTCTAAACGTTCTTGCTAAATTGCCAATTGCTTTGACACAAGGAATTAGTAGCTCGGTATCCGCTTGCTCAATGATCCTCAGTATTTGATCCACCACCGCTTTGCAAGCAGGAGCATTGGGCTTGAATGCTGATCTTCTCAAATCCGAATCCTCTTCAGCCACTGCTGTGAGCTCCATCACTGCCATGGCTGAATTATATTGAACCTCCCCAGTTCCTTTCTCTAACAGTACAGCAAAACACAAAAGAGCCCTAGACTAGGTGATGCTTCGGCAGATGGGCGAATTCCCCTTAGCAAGCTGCCAAAGTGCTCTTGCTGCCATTGCTTTCATGTGGGCCTTTGTAGCTACGTCTTCACCTTCCCTCCCTTTAAGATGGACAGCAGAGAGTGAGTTGCTGTGTTGATGGTGAGTAGCCGGCTTCGCAGCCGCAGACGCAGCCACAGGAAGGGTAGTACTGTTTCCATTCCCGTTTGCCACCGGGGCATTCCCGTTAGGAAGCTTGGCGACTCCATTCATGGCCATTGTGTTTGCAATTACGCTATGGAACTGGCTCCGCGTTCTGTTCCCTAGAGGGTGATTAATCCTGTTTTTATCTTCTTCAACATTCGGTCCTGCTGAGTTCACACTACCATTACTGTTGCTACTAGCAACAGCGTAGGAGTTGGCATTGCTCGCCAACACCAAGGCGTGGATCGAAGTAGCTTTCTGGCTAACAATAGCATACTTACTGTGCTCTTGAACTGTCTCAAATGCGAGATGACCTACCAACAGACGGATTATATTGTGCTGAGCGAAGAGATCCTGGCATTTGGGATAATGAGCAGCAAGCTCAGAAACAGCCCATGCCACCACTGCCTGGACCTTCATGGGAGCTTCTTTGAGGATTTTCGCAAAGACCGAGCAAACCCCGGCGTGAATCATGTGTTCCACGCTCTCAGGGTCCCGACCCAGAAGCCCAATTGCTCTTGCGGCATTCTCTTGGCCTTCCAATTTCCCGTCTTTTACCAATTTCAGCAGCGGCTGAACTCCTCCTTCCTCGATGATCAACTTACCATACCGATCATTGTCCCTGGCCAGGGAGACGAGGGAAGCGGCGGCGTCAGATCTATCGTCGGGAGACCCAGTGTAGAGAATCGCAATCTGCTCCCAAATGAGGCAGAGGATGGGCTCGTTGGCGGCGATCGGTGGGAGTCCAAGGTACTCGTCGTCGCGGTCGTCCGCGGAGGCAGAAACCCGTAGGAGCCAGGACACGTCGCCGATGGAGTTCTCGAGCTGAGCGGACATCTTGCGGAAGGCGGCGGCGGGGATAATGGTGAAGACCCGCTTCATGATTCCGTTGGCGCGACATTTGAGTACTAACGCCAGGGCCTTCTCGAGGACTTGCTCTGTGTCGTCGATTATGCGGCGAGTCGGTCGCTCGTAGAGGTCGGAGCTCGCCCTGGCCGCTTGACGGAGCAAGGCGGCGAGCTTCTCCGTCTTGGACTTCAGCTCGCCGCACTCCTGCTTGAAGGAGCTCGCTTCGTCTGCGGATTTGATGACGTGGTCGGCCAATTGGATTGGCTTAGCCAAGATCTGCTTCACCAAGTCGGCCATAGAAGGAGGAAGGACAAGGAGAAGTGGAAAACAGAAAGAAAAGGAAGGATAGAAACAAAAATCAACGCACCTGGAGTTCAACTTAATACGAAGATCGAGGAATCGGATCAAAGAATGAATAGGAAAAAAGAGAGGGCTTGATTGAGGGGAAACGAAACAGGGTTTGCAGGGGGAATGAAATGAACTGGAGACGGCGTCTTCTTCTGAGAAGAAAAAAAAAAAAACGGGGAATAATTGTTGGTAGTGAGAGAAATCAGAAATGAGAAGAGGAGCTTGCGGGCATAGGGGAAAGGTTTTAACTTTTAAGCATTGGAATTTTTAATTTTAGGAAGAAAAAAATCCTTCAAGTTTTGGTCTAAACTCTAATGGCGATGATGATGGACTAGAGAGGGCTTGGGGAGAGACTAGAGAGTAGAGAGGGCTTACAAGGTCAAAGACGCTGTTTCTCTTGTTTTTTATTGGTGTTTATCGGACCCGTTGGTCGGATGAATTATTGTATTTATTATTCATTTTATGTTAATTAGCTTTTTTATGTTCTCAAATTATTTTGGATTTGTTAAATTATTTATTAACAATTTGTAAATAGATTTGTGTTACTTATTTATTGTGATATCAGTGTAATTGGTTCATTTTTTTTATTGACCCATGTAGGTGTAAGCCGATTTATTCTAAACTTGTGCAGGGTGTATTCATTGGGCATATGAATTTTTATTTTTATTTTTATTTTTATATTTTATGTTAATCAACTTATTCATATTATTTTGGGAGATGGTCTAGTGGGGATGAGAACATTTCGAATTTGGAGTCAACCACCAACAAAAAGATCAATCATATTTTTAAATGATTTGGGGTATTCTAAGTAGTTTCTTCATATAAAATGCTAGTATTTTAACAATTTCACTTAAAGACGTAGTTGATTCATGATTTCAAAGTCATTTTGTGCTCCGTGTAAATGGTGGCATTAGTGGTAATTAGTTCAAATAAAATTTTGTTATTAATCAAATCATCCTAACTTATTGCTGTCTGTATAATTTTTTGTATTCTAGAATAAAATTTTGCACTTGTTGCCATCATGAATTGCCTTAAAAGGTACTTATTTATAAGAGTCAATATCATTTACTTGATTGTCTATGAGCTCCAAACGAAACTAAGCAATTATGCTATGAATTAGTGATTACAAACTTCAATGAATTGATCAATTGGTAATATGAAAGGATAAAATTCACCAAATATTGTGTTCCAAATGTATGGTCAACAAATCACATAAAAATGTGTGAGATAGTAAAAATGTTGTCGTTCATTAGTGTGCCTTTGATTTTCATACATAAAAACTGATCTAGATAGTGTTATTCTCTATAAAATAGCTTGCTCTCGATCCACCAATCCTCTACGTTCTTACCCACCACCTGATCCTTGGCCCGCCCCTGTCCATGACCCTGTCCATAGCCAGCTCATCTGCTTCCCTCACCTCGTTGAAACCCCAACAGTAGTGAATTTTTTTCCAGAAATAGCACTATTTAAAAAACATTTATAAAAATAGCACCCAACCCACACAAATTCCAAAAATAGCACCATTCACCAAAAAGTGCCACTAGGGGAGGCAGTTTGTGGAAGAACCGCTTATTGAGGAGGCGGCTAACATTCTGAGCAGAAACTGGTCCCTCAATAGGCGGTCTGGTGGCTGATCTAGCAAAAACCACCTGTTGAGGGAGCGGTTCTAGGTCTTCAACCGGAACCGCTCCCTCAACGAGCGGTTTGCCTTGCCGACACACAACCCGCACCCCCCTACGCTTTGCAGACGTGGGGTTTGTAGGGGTTTGCCGACATGTCGCCATGCAGGGGTTTGCAGACGCGGGGTTGCATGGAAGATAAGACCGCCTCTTCCCCTGCGGTTTTCGGTGACGATTTTGCTTATAAAAGGCAGCCCCGAAAACCTCAGATGTTCACCTCTCTCCTTATTCTTCTTCAATTGTATGTTGTGCACCCTACTTTTTTAGAGTTTTTGCGATTAACATTACTTCATAAGTTTATTTTGTATTACTTTTTGTTGTGTTTTGTGATTTTATGATATTAACTTAATTACGGTTTTATTGAACGGAAGAGACCGAAAAGGGGGTACGTTACGCTGGTGGTAATTTTCATAAAATGAAGGTCGCTACGAGATCGATGCTTGAAGAGCTCCATCAAATGTGTACTGAGGTTACTTGCATGGTTGGCACGAGAAGAGAGTGGGATGTAAACCTCTTTGCAGTTCATAGAAGACTCACAGTTAACGAAACAACAATCCACCAAAAATGAATCCAAAGATAGCAACACCAAACGAAACATGTAGATTAGGGTCCTCAACTGAATCCTTTATTACAACTTTAGGAGGTTCGAGAACTTGACGTCGTGGATCGGCAAATCTAAGAAAATGAGAAACTAAAGAGTGAGATACTGCCAATAAAGCTAAAAAGAACGAATCAAAACAAATTAATGGGGTAAGAATCCCGAATCACATAAAACTTCGTTATGCAAGTGAGTTCGGCGACGACATCTCCTCAAGGCTTACCTGCCTCATGTTGCAATCCCTATCTCTATCGAGATGCAAATTTTGCCGCTAATCTATGCGTTGACTGAAGGAAAGCAATATTCATTCATCTCCTAGTGTCTTGTGCTAAATCTCAGCTGGGAAGTAGTAAAATTAAACCTTGACCATGTTCGAACCCATAAGAAAAAAGAAACAAAAATCATGAAAGATAAAGAGAGAAGGAATATTTCAGAACAAAACCTGTGTTTCCACTATAAATGATATTGTATAATTTTATTTTACTAGATAATTGGCTAATGCTTCACTATGGGTAGGGGTGGGTAATGGGTTGAGTGGATTTTGGTCTCACATTGATTCATCCACTTATTAGTGAGTTAGAATAACTGTGACACGCTATCTATCCGCATTATTTTTCGGGTTGGGTTGGTGGGTGGAAGATGAGTGTGATTGGGTTGTGGGTTAACCCAATAAAGCAATTGACCCGCATGGACTACACTGTGAATTAAATCCAGACTAGAACCCAAGTATAAAGTCTAGCCGGGTGCAGTATAGGACAAGTATGTTTTAATTGTCAAACCCAGGCCGATCCATGTACCCCTACTTCAATTGTTTAGGTTGTTATCTAGCAGAAATGGCTTTTGGTTATTTAAAACTAAGAAAACTACAAAATAAACAAACAAGTAAAGTAAATCGAGGAGATTTATATATGAGAGGACCTCACCCGAGCATTGCTCCCCTAGTATCGTATTAAGAAACCATGAAGGATGTGTTTATAAACCGTGAGGCAGGTGCAACTAGTTAGGAAGCCCTAACTCTCTTAGTCGACCGGTTAAGGATAGAAACAATAAGCTGGGTGGCCTAACTCTCTTAGCCATTCGACTAAGGATTGCAACTATAAGCTAGAAAATCTAACCCTCTTAACCAATCAACCAAGGATTGCAAAAACCAATCCCTCATAACTTAATCCGGACAGCAAATAGCGACCAATCATGATGGAATTATGGCACTAATCCGATATTTGAGGTTTCCCTCATTTGCCTAAGCGGGGACACAAATTGGCCAATAATCCCGCTTTTCAAAGCCTCTTACAATAAGGTGATTCTCTCCACCTAGGTCAAATTGGCAAAATAATGAGTTAAACCTAGCAACACTCAATCATTCCTGAATAATACCTCAAATATTTTATAAAAACAACTTTGAAGACCAAGTCTCGAAACTCTTCCAATGAGTCTCTCTACTTTAAAGAATTTTATTGGGGTGAACTTTTGATTTGGCTTGGCGACACTTATGACACTTGAGGTTGTTTTTAGCTACACCTAAAAAAATTGTATCTATTTGTGAAAACTTAAAAAGCTTAGTATCAAAGTGCAATACACAAAAATTTTAGGTACTAAAATATATTTCCTTCAATACTTTGAGGACTTATATGCAAAAAATAAAATTTACGTACTAAACCTAAATATCAATTAAGTTAAGGTACCAAACTGTAATTTACAAATGAGTATGGTATAAACCCAAATTCATTGATTAAAAACCCAACCCAAATAAATGAATATGAGTATAAATCCATTAAACTCTATCCATTTATCATTTATTTGGATATGATACCCAACCTAATTGAATTTGATAGTAAAATACTCATGAATTTGGTCAAAATTGTCAATCCATAACAAAAGCTATATTACAGAAAACTGCAAAGTGACGAGCTTCTGCAAAATGGGATCAAGGCCTCCAAATTTTGACAGAAATGGCGCCCTAGCCGTCGATATAACACATCGTATGTTTGAGCCTTGACTCTGACTGTAGACTACCAAATAGAGAAACATAGTCAGACTACCAAATAGAGAAACATGAGAAAATGCAAATAAAAATAAGCAAAACGCGAAAAGAAAAGCAAATCATTAATTTGCTTGTTGTTGTAGCTAGGGGTGGAAATCGGTACGGTATCGGTATCCCAATACCAAATACCGAAATCCCGAATATCGAATTACACCCTAAAATCAATCACAATCCCAATCCCTAAATAATTTCGGTATCTCAATCCCAATCCCTAAATAATTTCGGTATCCCAATCGGTACCTCGGTATCCCAATCGGTATTATCGAATGCATAATTAATTACCTTTGCAATTAATAATTAAATATATAAATTAGATTGTATTGTTTAATTTTGAGCGAAGAGACTAAGCAAATAGTCTTGAGTTGCCTAGAGCTAACATCTCAAGTTCTTGTAATTGGTAATCTTTAATTTGATGAATTTGAGGTTGAGAGACGACTAATAATAGTGTGAAATAGTGATGTAATGATCTATGTATAATTAAATGATACTTTTGGTGGTTGATGGTCGCGTAGTAGAGAATGAGAGAGTTTAGTTGAGAGGATAAAATACACACTAGCTTATATTTCGGTATTGATCGGTATTTCGGTATATACCGATCCCAATCCCGTAATCCCTAATACCGAATAACAATTGAAATTCAATCCCAATCCCAATCCCACAAAATAATACGTGTATTCGGTAATACCAAATATAGACAAATTCGGTACGGTATTCGTATATCCCAAATACCGGTACCAAACTTCCAGCCCTAGTTGTAGCCATCGACCATAAACCTAATAAATTTGGTAGCTACACCTGTCTAAGATAGGTGCATAACGTTTAGTTATAGATTTATGCATAACTAAATCTGTCACTTAAGTTTGAGTAAGGTTAGATCTAAGGGTTGAATTAAAATACTTTTTATTTCTTCCGCCTTTTCTAATAACCTTATATCTCCTTTGCTTTAACTTGGATTTAGAATATTTGTTGGACAAATGGCACGAGTTAAATATGATCTACAAAATGTGATCTATTTGCATATATTTCGAGAATTTTATACCACTCGTTACCACCCTTGTACCATTATCTTTTTAACTCAAAATTAAATAAAAAGTGCACAAGACGACGTGCTCACAGTGTGGTCATTGTGATATAGAGATTTAATGGGAAAATAATCAAGACAAAAAATGTTACTATATTATTGGGTGGTAACTGGTTGTAAGTATATTTCTACTATTATGTATATAATCATTTTATAATATTATGGTATACCTGTATTAACCATAACATAATCTTATGTACTATCAAACATTATCACCGTATAGGTAAATTACTATGCACTTTCATCAAACATTTCTCTCAACTATTTATTACGTCAAACCTATTGACCAATGTACTTTAGAAAAATTATGAAACATGTCTTTATGTTAAAATTTTTAAGCAAAATACACTTTCATAGCCATAACTATTCGCGTTAGACAAATATAGCCAATTTTTGAAAAATACACCGATATAGTCACTTTTTCAAACTTGTTTGACAACTTTAGCCATTTCCGTTACAAACTTCAACATCGTCACTAACACCGTCAATAATCTCTACGTGTCGCTGAGGTGGATGCCACCTGAACGACACGTTGTCGCCAACTGGACGTCTTTATGACACGTCATATAAAAAGTAATTTTTAACAAAAAATAATTAATTTTACTAAAAAATCAAAATAAAAGATTTTAGAAAGGGAAATTATTTTAGTTTTATTTTCTCTACTCTCTCTACTATCTGACCTTCTCCATTAGCTTCTCTCGCAACCGCTGAACTTCACCGCTCTCTTGTCTGATCGCTCCTTTCGACGACGGCTTTTGAATCCATCTCACGCTTCTCCTCTCGCTCACCAAAGAAGCCATCGCTTCCTCCACCCTTCCTCTCTCGATCATTGTCTTCCTCCGCCGCCGTTGGAGTCGTTCGACAATCAACTTCAGTTGCTCTGATGGTCTCCCCAACCAAAAACATCCTTCAACCAATCCTATATCTCTCCACTGCTTCTTTTTCACTGAGAATCGTTCGAATCTCTTGACAATTAGCTTCTCGATCTTGAATTTGTATCGCTCGATTTTCTACGAAACCCTAAGTCTTCCTAATGGAGACTATGTATGGTTCGGCAAGGCAGGGGGTTCGTTGGTTGGACTTGATTCGTCGATGGGGATGGTGGGTTGGCAACGCTTCTGATTAGCGACGAGTTGGTGGGTGCGGCGGGAGATTACCAACGGCAGTGGAACTATGGAAGCTTGACCGGAGATGGGGGCGCGGATCAGGGAGGCGAGGTTGCCGCCATCGAGATGATGCATGTTGCCTTTGGCGAAGCTGGAACAGAGATGGAGGAGTGAATCAGAGAGACGAGCTAGATTAGATTGAGGGGGTGAATCGACAAAGGGGTGTATCAGCGGTTGGTTTGTTCCTCGGTTGAGTGCGCCGTCTATTTGGAGTGATGGTGGAGGAATTTTAATGAGAAATGGGACAGAATACTATGGATAAAAGTCAATCGACGACAGCCGACGGGATCCATGGACGACGGGGAAGAGATGATTGGGATGGGTCTTCTGGGTACAATCTAGTTATGCTGCTCACAGCATAAAGTGTGAGTAGATACTCACACGGTGGATCCATTGTCCACATGGGCGAGAGTAAGATGGCGCCGGTTTGGGTTGAGGAAGGTGAGAGTCGATTTGGGTCGGCTGGCCGAACCCACGGCTGACCAAGCCCACAAATTCAAAATTCAAAAATCAAACCTATTCTTTCCCCAATTCAGTTTCTCCGCCAGAACCACTTCGACTTCCCCTCTCTCCCACTTTTCCCCTCTCTCTCACTTTCCTCCTCTCACGAAAACGACGAAGAAGCAAGCGAAGCGGTGACGACAAAGCAGCGAAGCGGCGGCGACGGACCAGCAAAGCGGCGGCGAGCGAAGCGGCGGCGAGCGAAGCGGGATTTCGGCCGCGACGAAGGGCGGGATTTCAGCGGCGACGAAGGCTTGTGTTGACGGCGGCGACTTTGCAGACGAATCGGCGGCGACGAAGGGCGACGAAGCTTGGTTTGACGGCGGTCGTTGAAGAAAGAACTACTATTTGGACTAAGGTAACTGTCTTATTTATACTTTGTGTTCCTTCCGATATTTGTTATGTTCGGCAAGATATGCATTCTGTTCCTTCTGGATATTCGTTGTTTGTTGCCTGGGTTGTTGTTTGATGTATCTTGATATTGGTTTTGTTTGCGCATGATATCAGTTATGACTTTCTTGGATAATTGTTTGATAGGATCTAGGTATTTGTATGTGCAGAGATTTATCAATGGCAAGGACTAAAACAACCAAGAGGAAACAGCCGACCGACTCCACGACAGCCATCACCACCGCCTGTTTTGTGTGCGTTCCGATATTATTTATTTTGATTATGGATATCCATTGTATTTGGCTTGGATTGTTTCTTTGATATATCTGGATATTGGTTTTTACTCAGCATGATATGAGTTCTGACTTGCCTGGATAATTGTTTGATATATCTGGATATTGGTTTTTAATCAACATGATATGAGTTCCGACTTGCCTGGATAATTGTTTGATATATCTGGATATTGGTTTTTATCACCATGATATCATTTGTAACTTGCCTGGATAATTGTTTGATATATCTGAATATTGGTTTTTGATCAGCATGATATCATTTGTGACTTGCCTGGATAATTGTTTGATATATCTGGATATTGGTTTTTGATCAGCATGATATCAGTTGTGACTTGCATGGATAATTGTTTGATATATCTGGATATTGGTTTTTGGTCAGCATGATATCAGTTGTGATTTCCCTGGATAATTGTTTGTTATATCTGGATATTGGTTTTTGGTCAGCATGATATATGTTGTGAATTGCTTGGATAATTGTTTGATATATCTGGATATTGGTTTTTTGTCAGCATGATATCAGTTGTGATTTCCCTGGATAATTGTTTGATATATCTGGATATTAGTTTTTAACCAGCATGATATTTGTTGTGAATTGCTTGGATAATTGTTTGATATATCTGGATATTTGTACGTGCAGGGATAAAACGAACGTGAAGAGACATCGACGAAATCCACCGCCGTCACCACCGCCACAGCCAGAGGAGGATGAGGAAAAAGAAGATGCTGAAGTTGCAGCGCAAGTACGTGCACAAGGAGTAAAGACCTTTAGATAGGGTTCAGTTTTCAAATACTAATTTTGTATCCGATTGAAGATGTTAGGAGTAAAGACCTTTGCCGCATGTTGTAGGAACGGGCTATCCTCCATCATAATATAATGAACCGATTGTTTCCCATTGTAGTCTGACTCAGTCTCCTTGCGTCTTTTTTCAGCCAACAAACTACATTTACAAAGCACGAGAAAGAGTTTAGTGCCCAGACTAATATCCACTCAAACCAATATTAATATCTCAACTAAACAAAGTAATATTTAACAATAGCATATAAATATCCGGACAACGCTGACAAATTAGGAATTGATATTATGCCAACACATGTCAACAAATATTTGTAAAACCCAGACTAGTATCTCATATTGTCATACCAATATTCGTCCTTTTACAAAAACATATCATGTCAGGTCATGTCAATATTGGCCCAAAAAATTGTTTTATGAGCCTTCGGCCCATGGGCCCTCGGCGGGCAGCCCTTACTAGGCTGCAAGCCACCAGACCCTAATTGTTCCTTCATATTCAACTTCCCGCCCAAAATTTCGGGCCGCCCCCACCAAACCCAAATTATTCCTTCCTTTTCCAACTTCCCGCCCAAAATTTCGGGCCACCCAAAAAGCTGCCCACCTCCCGCCCAAAATTTCGGGTCGCCCAAAAACTGCCCACTTCCTCCGCCCAAAATTTCGGCTCGCCCAAAAAAGTACCCACCACCTCCCTCCTCTCAGTGAGTATCTACTCACACTTTGTGCTGTGAGCAGTTTAACTTTTCCGTTCTGGGTATGGGTAGATGGAAAGAAGGGGTAATTATCATAATTGGTCACAAAACTATTCACTTTGTACAAAACGGTCACAAACCTTTAATTTTGCACGTTTCGGTAACATATGTTTGGACTAATAACAAAAAGGCAATTCCGTCAATCTCCATCCAAAATTCTGTTAGTTTGATCCAGTCAGCCATCTCGTCAGCATCCACATCATCAAAATAATTAATAAAAAATAAAAATCAATTAAAACCCTAACCAACTCATCACCCCAATCCAACCCAACCCATTCCTATCTATCTCCTCTCCCTCTCAGCACCGCCCATCTGCAAAAACGCTTCCCCAAGTCGAAATTCATTCGATACTTGTTATAGCTAAGAGAGAAGGACCTCTCCAGGAGATGAGCTCCTCCACGGCGGGTGAGTTGGGGAAACAGCTCCGAACTGGCACCAAACATACTGCGATGCCACCGTCGACAATTTCTTCAATCGCCATCAATCCATTGCCACCGGTGTTCCCAACCCCCACCTCTTCTCCCCCGACCCAACTGATTTACTCCCACCAGAAGACAACACAGCCGCACCTTCAAACCAAATTGTTCTTCGACTCCCTTTCTCGTCACTATTTCAACTCTGTTATAAATACCCAGCACCCTTTTTCCTTTCTCAATCATTACCCAATCCGTGCGACACAGAGGGGTGAAGGGTTAATGTTGGTGGTGGGATTTATGGTGATGGTGATCATCAGCTTGTAGATGATGTCTTCTATGCGGAGCTTGTAAGGCAGGTCCTGATTTTGACGACGATTCTACCGTGATTCCTCGCCAAAACAATGTTGGGTACTTCGATAGTTCGATTCGATTTCACAACCTGCTGGTGCCACGGGAAGCTTTCGTAGAAGGGGAAGAGTGGCCGCTGCCAGCGTTATTAGAAGGTGGAACGGAAGGAGGCTTCGTCGCGGACTCGCGGTCTCCATTTTTTGGGGGTTTAGATGTGGTCACAGCTGGTTAGGTTCTGGAGATGGATCGTGGTTAGGGAAAGGGGATGAGAGAGAGATCCTTCTCTCTTAGTTGTATACTTTTTTCAATTGGTTTTTATTGTATTTTTTATTAATTACTTTGATGATGTAGATGCTGACGGTACCAAACTAACGGAATTTTGGATGGCGATGGACGGAATTACCTTTTTGTTATTAGTCCAAACATATGTTATTGAAACGTGCAAAATTAAAGGTTTGTGACCATTTTGTACAAAGTGAATAGTTTTGTGACCATGTATGATAATTACCAGGAAAGAAGGGGAGAAGAAGATGAAGAGGGCGTGCAGGGTTTCCATTTTTTTATTGTTATTTTTATTTTTTAATGTAATTATAATAATAACTTAATAAGAAATGAAACTTTCCACCTAGGATTGGTTTAAACAAAAAATTGTCACATCACCAGAAAACGTTAGTACAGTCAGCATTTATGATGTTGCCGTTAAAGTTTTGGACGGAATGGCTATACGAGTGTATTTTTCAAAAATTGGCTATATTTGTCACAAAGCGAATAGTTATGACTAGGGCTGGGAAAACAAACCAGACCGTTAGAAAAACCGTGGTCCAAACCGTATCGTACAGTTTGGTCTGGACCGTAGACCGTTAAGTATGGTCTGGTCTGGTCCATGGTCTGTATTATTTTATGTTTTGATCTCTTGGTCTGGTCTGGTCTAGACCGTGGTTTACCGGACCAAACCGTGGACCCAACTGACTTGTCAATACGTGTTAACAGCCCATTCGACCACTCTCCCAACTCCCACAACGACACCCAAGTCTCAACCTTAGTTTTGTGAATCTCGTCCCTCCTTCATTCACAACTACATTTAACCAGAGATTAGAGATATTCGTGTCTCCATATGACATTATATTAATGTTTATGACGTTATGGTGCAAGTTGGGATGCTTTTACTTTGTATTTTTGTTATGTACTAAGATTTAGAGTATCAAAATTATTTATGCATGTTAGGATTAATGTTTTAATGCAAATAACAATTATTTTTCTTGGTTATTGATTCAATTTTTTTTTTTGTAGTTGACTAAACAAATTATTCATTTTTCCTTGAGTGTGGTCTATCTGGACCAGACCAGACCGAACCAGACCGCACAGGCGTGGTCTGGACCGGACCGTATAATCTGTGGTCTGGTCTGTGGTCTATACTTTAGACTCTCGGTCTGGACCATAAACCGTATATATGGTCTGGTCCAGACCAGACCGCACCATTTCCCAGCCCTTGTTATGACTATGAAAGTGTATTTTGCCAAATTTTTATACAAAAGTTTGCCAAAACATGTTTGATAATGTTTTATTAACGTAAATTTTGCTAGATTTGACGAAAAAAATAGCAGAGGGACATGTTTGATTAACGTAGATAGTAAATATGCATATTATACCTATAGCCCTAGGTCTCAAATTTTTTTGTTTCAAACTATATCAAAGTGAATACGTCTTTAAATGTCATTTTTCAAAATAAAATGGTAGCCAAGCTGGAGAGTTCTATTTATATTTACACAAAGTATAGGAGAATATGTTAGTCAGTACTTGGGACAAGAAGCGAACGAGAGCCAACCTAACTGGTGATTTCGACACACATGAGTCGGCACACTTCCATTGTAAGGTCATTGTTCGATACTTCGATTCATCGTGATGCCAACTTCCCTTCCCCTCTAGTAGCACCTTGTAACAGGATTATTATATATAAAAAAGTACTCGGGACAAGAAAGAGCTAGACCATGTAACTACATCTTCACTTCTGTCGGGATTTTGAGGAAGCCCACTTGAAGTAACCACAGTTCGCTTCTGGATTTGATGAAGGTCCCTGTCAAAATATATTAATTCAAAAACTTCGTATGCATTCATCAATACACAAGTTGATAGCAAGCTCCAATTTCAGGCAAAGAGAGTGTCCTGAAGGTACCTCTCCTCGAGCACAGACATAAAATCTGTGGCCGAAAGTAGGGCCGGATTTCTTCACAATCCTAGCAACGCATGGTTCCTTATGGCCCTTGCAGAGAGGAATGCTGTTCTGCATGTGTTGTTGTATTCTTTGCCACTCCAGCAGGGCATTACTACTTTTACCATCTTCTCGATCATGAGTCCGAGCACTCAGCTTCAACTCATCAGGGTTTGGACTTCCATGCTGATTATTTGATGGAGTTTCACTCGATTGATTCTGATCTAGATCAACATCAGTAGAGGAGCTTCCAGAAACATTGACAAGCTTTGAGCTTGTCTGGAAAAATGACCTCAATGAAAGTTGTACTCCTAGGCCCTTTCTTGATTTCTTCTCCTTTCTCGACTTCTTCTCATTCTCTTCATCCTGGGAGCACCCCTCTACTACTCTTGCTTTGCCATCTGAAGACGAACTATATATATTGCAAGACTGAGACTGGGTCGAAGATTCTCGTTTAGTTAACACAGACACTGCAAGGTCAAGGAACCATGGCATTGTAAGTGAGTGGCCAAACACAAGAAACGCTGTATAGAAATATAGAATACTGCTTGGGTAAATAATGAAAGATTTGCTCATACCAAGTGTCTGTTGGAGACCTCGGATCATTGGAAGATATCTTGATGATAGTGACGGTGTACTATGTTGGTAGATGTCAGGGATGTCAAGTAAAGTCGCATAAACAGGAGCATGATCTGAACCTACAAGTTTAATGTCCAACCCTCCTTTCCACCTGTACCTATATTGCCAGTGGAAAGCACAAGGTAAGAATCGGATCTGCAAATTAGCCTGAAAATAGAAAACTCAAATCCAACTGTTACTACCTGGCTGTGTTTCCAGGTTTCCAACGTTTGTACTCTGTCAATATGTCACACTCTTGGACATGGCAGCTGATGAAGTTGTGGGCCTGGCCTTGTTGATCTTCAACCACTTCGTGTATACATGATCCAGCACACAGAATATGGTCAATTCTACTGCCGTAATTAAATTGTTCAGCCCCTGTACTGGATGGCCAACATGTGTATGCATCTTCTCTGTTTAATAGTTTGCAAGAAACCAATTGATTTTAAAGTATATTTGAAATTAAATGGGTTAGTAAATCGTACTGAAAGCATACATCAAACCTGTTAGAATGCTTATCTCTAAAAACATCAGAAAACCGGCCTCCTGATTGCAATAGCAAAGATCTAAACCACATCCTGAACCTGTAAAAATAAAAGCAAATGATTAAGTTCACTGCTTGCTTTGATTGATATAGGGACTAGAAACTGTAATAAACGATCATCTGCATATTAAGCAGTTGGCAGCTTACTCATTCTTCTCAAAATCTGCACTCGCTTCACATCTATCCATAGCAGAAGGAGCAATGTTGAAATCACCAACAACAAAAACCCTTCTTCCTTGATCTAGGAGATTCTCCCATCTT